GTTTTCTCAATTTATTCATTTAGTAATTTTATAGTAATAATATGCTAAACATTTTTAATAATGGAAACTAAATAAAATGTGTGTGATATGTTAATTTAGCAGAAATAGATAATGTGATTTTAAGCGATGGTCATTAAGTAACTTGACATTTGAAATGTATAGCTTTGATATATTTTCATTATCAAAAAATAATAAACTTAATAACTAATACCCAATAACACTTATTACATAATACACTAATTTCTCATTTTAATATTTGTTCAAAGTATTGAATGATTAGTATTTGTAGGTACAAGACATTTATTATCAAAATACCGTTACGTGTATAGTTTTTGTAAATTCATAGAAGTAACTCAACTATTAATGTAAACTATAAAATAAAATACCAATATAGAGAAACAAATGTTAGGGTATTTTAATTTAACTTGTCCACTTTAATGTATTTCAATAATTAAAAAAACCTCTTTTCTTTAATGTACTTTGTAATAAAAACCATAGTAACAAGCGAATCATGAATACACAGGAATTTCGGGATACACAAAATAATCCCTTGGGTTAAAAAAAGGCGAAGTGGAATTTATTTTATGGTTCTCTGCGCTAATCTTATCACTACAAACAATCTGCCGTGCTCAAATTTTCATTTTTATATTATATTATAATATTTTTGAATTACATTTATTTAATTCTTTTTGCACATTTTAGACCTCTTAAAAAACACTACGTATGTCAAAAGCAGACACGTCTTGAATAAAAATGTCCCATACTGAAATAATGAATTTTTTAATAGTGTTCTAATATTTGATTATTATATAAAATATAAAATATTTAATATATTTATAGGGTCTTTATAATTTTTACATCAACTTATTAATTAATCAATTTAATGATTTTGCTTTTAATTAAAAGATACTTGAGATTAAATAATGAACATCAAATAAGTCAATATACGAATAAAATACTAAACTAAAACTTATTAATACATTTAATATTATAAAATATAATTTTATTCTTTCACAAATTAATTGGACTAGATAAATTTATTAAAGCAATTTTTCTATTTCAGAGAAATCCAAAACTATATTGTAATAAATATATAATAGTCTTTAATAGTTCAAAAAATAGAACAAGTATAGAACAAGTTTATGTTATCTTTTAAGCTTGAAACATACTTAGGATAATGTACAATGAATAGTAAAAACGTTTATTTGTCGACTTCATTATTTTTCAGATATAGTTATTTGTAATAAAATCTAACATAATACTTCATATAAATAATTTGAGGATAAAAAAATATGTCTGAAGTACATGAATTATAATAAAGCTACAGTTATATAAGAATAATAATTAATTCTATTTTATTATTAATAAATTTTTATAATTATAAGAAAAAACTTTTAGTGTCTATACAATTTTTTGATAAGATAAAAATTAACATTATCAAAAAAATTTAATCTAATATATTCAATAATAATAATTTAATAAATTTAATTGCATAATTAATATTCTAATTCTTTAAACTTAATTAGCCAGTGATACTATTATATTACAACTTAGATAAAAGAACAAAAAAAAATTGAATTCATAATTTTTTTATGCTTAATTGATGTGGGTAATAACTTCTATTAAGTCTATTTATCTAGACTATATAAGTATTATCTAGGCATTATTATCCGCATCTACCTTATACCCTTATATTGAGTATTTTTCTTACAGTGTAATTGTAATTACAAAATTTACATAAGTTTTCAAATAGAAACTACAACTTTTATATTATTATTATTTTTTTTTTTTGTAAAATAATTCAATCGTTACAGTTATATCTTTGATGTGTACAAAATTACATATATCAATTTTATACTTCAATTTAGTACCGGACTAAGGCCAATATGGAATCCGGAGATCACTTACAAACCCAACCACCTACAAAGGTATAATCGCAATTAAAACAAAAAAAGAAGATTTCGCCATCCAAAAAAATATTTTTCAAAATAATAAGTATTCAATTCTAAATTGTCGAAGGAGTTTATTTATAAAAAAAGTGGCCAGCCCCCTAGGATTACTTTAGTTGCACTAGTAGTTAACTCTAACTGGTTCTGATAAGGTAGTTATTAGTTTTTATTTTTTTAAATTCAATTGTTGCTATGAAAACAAAAAATATAAAGTTGCCTTATGTTTTAAGGTATTATCACTCAAAATCACATTTTTTTTTTGTTTTATGTTATTATAAATAATAATATAAGAATATTTTTATAAAAATACTTTTATTTAAAATTAAAAATTAAAAAGTAAAAATAAAATTGGAATCCAGCAAAGTGGAGTTGTGGTATTTTTAGATTAGTAATGATTAATATCTGACAGTGATTAAAATCACTGTCGTAAAAAGATTAGATATATTTTTAAAAAAAATTATATATAACAAAAATTATACGGTTTTTGACTTAAGAGGACAATTATTCGGTAACCGGAAAAAATGTCAGAAGAAAAAAAATACTCGAGATCAGTGGTGAAAGTGAGAAAAACTAGATGGGGGAACTATAATTCCTAAAAAAACTATAAATGATATTGATTATTTCTTATAATACACATACTTTGTAAAAAAAAAAAATCTCAGTATAGGAATAGATTATTACATTATTATATTTTTTGTTATTTTATTAAAAATCAATTAGTAATGAATATTACTCAAAACATCACAAAGTCAAAATCAAAATTTTAATTTATTATGAAAACAAATGCATAACAGTCTTTTTAAATTTCAAATATACTATAACAGAAACAAGCTGAGAAAAAAATATTAATAGTAAACAATTTAGATAAAAATCTACATAAATATATATGATATAAAAATTATAGTAAAATAATTTATAAAATATTCAACAAACTAAAAATATATTAACAACTGTGAAAGGTTCTATTAATATAACAAATGTTTATATCACTTTAAATTTTTATTTTTATCACTTTATAACCCTTAATATAATTAGTCTTTTAGTTTTATGTGTAGTTATACATTAATTACATGGTTTTTTAATCTTACATTAAATAATTAAACTTTCGAATAATCCAAAAACAAACAAATAACAATAATGACGTCACAGCTGACCATGCTCCAAATACTTTATTTACCACGGTCCAATCATAAAATTTTTATCATTTGATATTTAAGTTGTTCTACAATTATTTTTATTTTTTAATAATTTTTAAAATTTTAATCATTCGAATAATTTTTTTATATTAACATTTTGTACTCTTCAGTACTTATAACTAATTCGTGCCCTCGGCATTTTGATATTTGACTTAAAGATAACACTAAATTGTACTCCAAATAAGGTGTCCTCTCCGTACACCACTGCTCGAAAATTAAAATACTATAGGAAAAAATGACTAAACCATAAAAATATAAATTATAAAACAAAAAACACTAGCCGTCACAATATATCATCTTGACAATTAAAGACCAAATATTTTGTGTATATTTCTACGCCCCAGTTCAAACTGCAATAACTAAAAAGAATCAAATTTTTCAGTATAATTATTAAAAAAAGATTTTTAATGTTACATTATGTAATGTAAAATTCAATTTTATAAACGTCTTCTTTTGGAATATAACTCGGCTATATTGAATTGGATTTATAAACATTAAATTTTAAATAATAAACTATCTATCTGAACTAATTACTATAAGCTATGAAATAATAACCATACCTAAATAATTTTATGTCTAATAGCTTCTAGAAATCGATATTTCGAATAGTTTTTCTTTTTTCAAGTATATTGTATTAGCTTTAAATGAATATAGGTTTGAGGAAGGTAGATTTTTTGGAATATTTTTAAAAAGTTATTCTAATATAAAGTGAAAATTTAAAATATCAGGAATGTTTTATGACAACATCATTTTTTTAGAACATTTCCCTTTATTACTGAGATTTAGAGGAATTTTTCTAAGTCACGGCGCTAATAGATTCATCTAGATATGTTTAGTGATATTTTGACGTATCGTTGAGGAAAATCAGTTAAGTAGGTAGTTCAGGTTGGCATACAGACAGTACATAAAAAAAAAACCCGGTAGAGTAAAACTAATAGCTTTCTTATCTACACGTCGAAGTTAAAAACAAAAAAATCATTTTTAAGGAACAATTACTTAATAGATATATTTTAACATAATAAGTAGTAAAAAGGTAAATAAATAAGAATGAAACAATAACTAATATTTCAAAATGTATTTATTCATTGATAGGATTAAAACTGACAAAAAGTAAAAAATATACGTTTAAAGTCATACTTGAATAGGTCCTCATAACCCGAGAAACTTGGGGAAAGTTCATCCTGAACCCCTTTTTCAATTAAAAAATACTAAAATTGTTGTATATGCAAATCTAGCGAAATAAATTATTTACCAATTTTTGGTATAATGATATTTTGGAACACAAGTGATATGTCTTATAGCTTTGTTGTAAAGCTAAGAACATATTTCAATTTAGGAGTTATTGGTCCTAACAAATTGATGATTATGTTAACAATAATTGTTATTATAATTGTAATTAAATTATTTAATTATACTAATATCTAAAATTGAAAAATTATACATAAGGTTATAAGGTGTCGATATAAAACGAAAATAATTTCACCTAATTTTATTTTAAATGTCATAAAATTTTAAAGAATATATCATAATTAATAATAACACTAGGTTGATCATAAACAGATCAAGCTTTCAGAAATCGCTATTTGAAATGAAGAAATCATATAGCAAATGACAAATATATATTTTGTCAGAATATGTATAAAAGTTTGAAATTAATGATTTTTATAAACTATATACTTCAGAAAAATTAATTTGTATATTATAGTTGATAGGACATAACTTAAAACATCTTCATCCAACTTAGATACTATCTCTATAAGCAATCAGTGGTTATGTGGAACAGTGTAAATAGTGATACAGGGTGGCGCAGGGGACCGGCGCATGGGGTTGATAACCATGCTGTGTGTTGGTTGCCCAATACAAAAACAGTGTGTTGCAAAATGATTCCTGTACGGTCGTTCGTCCGTTGGTTTCGGGTCGCTTCGACGTCGTGATAATCGCATGGACCCTCGGGGTGTTGTCGTATAGGTAACGTAAAGATAATTAATTAATTGTTGAATAATTATAAAAAAATAATCTATATTCTTAATAACTCGATAAATTGATAAAATACAACCAATTATAAGAGCGTCAATTTATATATTTACTCAAATATATGAATATTTTACAATTATTAAAATTATAAGACATAAAATATTGTACTAGTACAATGATTTACTAAATAGTTTAAGCTGTAAAATTCATATATTGAATGTTGAAAAATAATTTTATTTTTATTTTTTATTATATAGTTTAAAAAGAAGTATAAATATCAAATATTTAAATTTATTTTTAGTATCTTAACTATTTTATGTACATATATTTTTTTAAAGCGCTGTATGTTGAAAATAAAAATAGCAATTAATTATTAAACACTAATCACGTCATAATTTTATAAGTCAAAGTAAATAACGCAAAAGTGTTTACTAGTTATAGAAGTTAACAACATTCATAGAGATTTCTTTAAATATTTCAAGAGAGTCCAATTTTATTCATTATTTCCTTTGATTTGTCACTCTATTTTTAAAAGTTAAATTAAAACTTATATTATGTAAATAAAAAATTTTTTTTTTTATTTATATGACTTTTTTACTCAATAATGGTTCTTATAGTTAATTATGAGTATTTTTTAATTGTGTACATAAAAACAATTGTACAATTAAAGATGATAGGAAGACTTGGCTCCTAATAATTCAAGAATATTTTCTTTTTTTTTATTAATTTAAATATATTTTAATAACTTAAAACTCTGTTACTGGTAATCTTGAATTATTTTAGGAATTCGTAAAAATAAACGTTCTAATCATTCACTTCCCAACTCAATGTTCTCCAATGATAAGAATATTTTTGGTAGTGAGTATAACTATTTAAAATTAAAAGTATATTTAAATTAATGCTATAAATTTATTTTTAATTCTAAATAATATTAAGCACAACAAGTGATCAATTTTTATTATAAGATCTGCTATACGATAAAACTAATTGATTTGCTACATTTTTTTCGGATAATTTCAATTGGTCTTTAAACTTATCTAATATATTAGAAACAAATAATACATCTAGTATTCATTTTAATAAGTGTATATTAGAACTTAATAATGTATATATCGAAATTTGTGAAATAAATCATAAAACTTGCCTTGGTCTCAATAAAGTAAAAATATATTTTTTGTGCAATGCAAATTTGTTTTGGCTTTTTATTATATCTATACAATAAACCCTCAGCTGTCGATATTTTCCCTAACCAAACTTCTTATATTTCTCCACTTTTTAAGAATTAGGATTTGAACTTTGTTACTAATTATCACCCTATTTCAATTTTATTTATTATCTCTAAAATATTTGAGGGCATTTTATATAAGAAAATATTTCCATTGTTAAAAAATTGTTATAATTGATGAGTATTATGGTTTTATGCTAGTAAAGTCTATTAACAATCTCTTAATTTTTCAGTAGTATATAATGGATGAATTTAAACTAAATTTTCAAGTTGATAAAATGTATACTGATTATTAAAAAGCTTTTGATAAAATTCATCATTGTGTACTTGCTACCAAATTGTACCATTTAGGACTATGTATCCTTTATACTCCTAGCTCATCTTCTTTTTATCTGGTATGAAACAATATGAAAATCTTAACATCTCAATTTTATTTTACATCATATTTTATTTAATAAATATCCTCTAGAATATTTACTTATTCTTTTCAATATTTTTGTTAATAATAATTATCCTATCAACTTAAACATACTACTTGTTGCTGATGATATTGAACTATTTAAAGTTCTTTAGATTTCAGAAGATGCTGTACTTCTACAGATCGATTTTGAAAATTTTAATAATTAGTATAACGTAAATAAGTTACCTTTAAATGTGTTCAAATGTAAAGTAATTATTTTTTGAGAAAACAATCTTCATTATTTTACAAATATTATTTTAATAGTATTGAATTAGTTCTTGTTGATCACGTTAAAGATGTAGACGTTAACTTTGATCCTACTCTTGTATTTAATAAATATTATACTTTTATGCAAAATAAATCTTCCTCAATTTTGGGGTTCATAACGCGTAGTTGTATAAATTTTGATGAGATACTTGCTCTTAAATTACTTTACTGTGCATTTATTCGCTTAGTGTTTGATTACAACTTAGTCCATCCAAAATCGTTTCTTAAGAAAAATTTGATAGAAATGTAACGTCCAACGTTCTTCCCATTCATCCTATAAAACATTATTATTTCAATTTAAGCTTGATTTTTTAAAAGATAGAAGGAATAAATTAGGTATTTGTTTTTTTTCAAGTTATTAAATGGTTTTATTTACTGTCCGAATTCATTATTTAAATTAAACTTTTTTGTTCCTGACCGTACAAGCAGTTAGATAAACCAATACTTTTTATAAGCCCTTTCAGCGAATAATACATGATAATAATTTCTCTTTAATAAGACATATGCAAGTTTTAAATAATAATTATTAAATATTATGATAACCATTATTTGTAAACAATTTTTTTTAAATTCCGTAGTGAAAGATTTATAATTTTCTTAATGTCACAGTTTTAAATGAATCACTTAAAAATATAATAATTTTTAAAATAATTTTATTTTAAATTTTTTATATTTTCAACAATTATTTTTCATTTTTCGTGTAAGGTTGGACTTTGAAAAATTAAGTGTCATTATCCTTTAGGGACTATTAAAGAAACGTATGATAAAACTTAATTTATAGTAGATAACAAAAGTATATTCTACATGAATTATTCGGTCGTATTGAAATTTTACACGACCACATGCGATTGGCATGAACACGTACTTTAGTTGTTTCGTACTACAAAATCGATAACCAACATGGAATGTTGCTACTACACTATCATAAAATTTTATTGTGGATTTTGCAGCTGTGTACCTTGCGTGATATAAATGAATCGTCCAATTATCCATCTATATAAAACGTTTAGATAAACTATATTGACGTAGTTATATAACTACAACGTTTTCGTGACAGATATATGACGAATAAATGTTTTCAAACGGTCTTTGATTTAAAGGCCAAGAGTCCAATCAGATAATTTAATATAATAAGAATTGATCACTTATGAATAATTTTAAACAGATAATCTTTTCAAATGATAAAATAAATAGTTACAAATTTAAGAAAATCAATGTTTTAATGACAAAATATCATTAAATTATATACATTTTTTAAAAGGTGTAAAAATTCGTATTATAAACAAATAACATAAAAAAACTAGTACGAAATAGATTACATTTTCAATAAAATAATTACAAAAAAATCTAATGTAGAACATATTAAAAAGTATCTTATTTAAAGAATCCATGCTTCAAAATGTACAAATTCAAGTGTGTATACTTTAAATTTAATGTAAATTGAATTTGCCCTTGTCCTTTAAAATAAACAGAAAATTAATATGGCAACTCTCTTTTAGTACTAAATGCTATTCGAACAGTGAGGTTAACCACATTGTAATGGATATCATTAATGACCATTAAAGTACCAAGTACCTTTAAAATAAATTATTCCCATGGGAAATTTTCTATATTCCTATAACCTGAAAACTGTTATTAGTGTTTTAATGTAATAAATCTCGGCAGTTAATGAATCCGCGTTCAACCTAATAGTTCATACGCCGAGAAAGATACTTTTAAGTCAATTTTTATTAATAATCATTGAAGCTAGCAAAATAATAATAAAATGTTTATTCATTACTTTAAAGCTGATTTTTGTTATCAAGTTTTTATTGTACTATTTATCATTCGTTATACCTAATGTTTAATTCATATAACTAAAACATAAATTTATTTATTAAACTTATCGATTTATTATATTAATTTATTATTTGTCTATTAAAGTGGACATGAAAGAATAGGCACGATAATAGATATTTTTATTTTTAACTTTTAGTAATTTTTATTTGCTTCCATTACAATATTAAAATTTATATTTTGTCTAGTTCAATTAAATTATGTTACGTCTCTATTTTTTAGGTTTTATTTATACAGTTTTTTATGTTCTATTAACAGGTACAACAAAAAAAGACTAGAAAATGTTTTGCCCGTTCAGCTCAGGAGCTCCACCTAGAGCAAGCACAACGCTGACAGAACAACAGCCTTTGAATTTGAAGCATCTCAGTGAAGCTGTCAGAACTCTAACATCACCACCAGTAAGTTCAGTAATGACAGTATTTGCCAACAATAGGTTAGATAAAATAGGTTATCCGTTTTGCAAACAGCTATTTAGTCATTGTATGATATATAAATCGTTACACCTCAGATTCCCACATACAAATTCGACTTATTAATATGATATATTATTATGTGAAATGTGTCGGGTGTTTTGCAAAGTTAGATAGGATCAATTACTATTTATCGGGGTAAAATAACTTCAAGTGTAAATTCTATATTATTCAGAATAAAACACTAAGGGGGATTCAGCTTAAATTCTCAACAGTTTGTAATAATTTTTTTTGCACCTTTTTAGCTTTCTTAAAAATCCATCTCATTAATCCGTTAATACATAATAGTAAGCTCATATGAACAGAAATGATTAAAATTATTCCATGTCTATAGTATGGAATATGTTAAAATTTAATGTGTAACATGTATGTGATGTCTGATTTTTCTTTAAAAACTTGATTGCTTTTGAACAATATGAGAAAAATATAAGTTAAAAAATCTATAATTCTTTAAAACCAAATCTAAAAACAAAAAAAACAATCTTATGTTATTTTGTTAAGAACACTTTTATTTTCGATGCGAAAATAAAAAGTTTTTACTATGATGTGATTTTATTTATTTAATTCTTTTGTGTCTATCGCCACAAAATCCAACTTCTATTAGATCAATATTGTGAATCAATTTTAAATTAAATATTGTTTAAAGACTATATCAATAACATGGTACGTACCAACAAATGAGAAATTCGGTTAATCTTTGAACATTGTTTTAAAAGCCAATATATAAAACATAAAATATACCTTGAATTATACTAATGCGCCAAAAAATATCGGCTTAATAAAAATTATTGAAAAAAATAATTAATGATTTAAAAAATATATATTTAAATAGTTTAATGTTTTTGACAGCAATAAAAAATAGAAAAAATTATAATAAAAACTAAAATATGGTATTTTTGCGCATTCTCCGACAAATATATTGTTATAGTAATTATAATTACAAATTAGAACAATATCTCAGGTTTAATGAATCTATTTAACGTTATTTGAATTAAATTATATATATCTTAATAACTTTTTAAGTTAAAATTACTATCTTCTTCTTTTTCCCCGTCTTAATTCCAACTACTTGGGATCGGTTAAAATTACTATATATTAAAGGAAATATTTATCATATTTATAAATATTTTTCTAAAATATAATTTAAAAATAAAAAAAAAATTTTTATATTGTACTTGATTATTATATAGTTTAATTAATTATTATTACTTTATTTAGGAGAAAAATTTAAGTTGTTTTTTATTCAATTAAAGTAAACTTAAGTAAGCTGAGTATCTTTATTTTAAGATTTTAGTTTTTAAGAATCGAATTTGTGGCTGTGATTTTCGTATTAATCCCTCCCTTTCTAACCTTTTTGAATGATTTGAGATAATGCGGAGGGTGTAAGAAAATTCTTTTTTTATGTAAAATCTATTTTAGTATAAAATCCTGGATACTGATCTTAGCACTAGAAAAAAAATCCCATTTTTAATTAAATAGTGAAATTTGAGTAAACTTCCATGATTTTATAACTTTAGAAGAAACATAGAACACATATGCCTTTAAATATATTAAGTTAAATAAAAGATGTTTTCAAAGAAATAGTATTGTATAACAACATTTCGTGTTTGTTAGTAATATATAGGTCATCAAAATTGTATACATAAAAAAAACAATGAAAGTTTTTACATTAGGTAGTGTTTTTACGTTTCTTGGTACTTTTGAAAGAGACAATCAAGAAGAAAGAAAAATCTAATGATGATATATTTAATGGACAGGAATTTGAAAGAAACAAAACTATCATTATTATATATTGTTCTATGATGTTGCTTAGTCTACAGCAGTTATTCAAAATATAAACGAATACTTTAAAAACATGAGTGTCATTGTTTTAGTATGTCGTTTCCAAAAGTATAAAAGCCAAAGTAAAATGACTCAAAATAACATTTGTAGCTCAAATGGTAGATAAAAACGAATTTTATCTTGTCAGGTAGGTTGAAACAATACTATTGCTAATTATTATAACAACAACAAATATTTAAACCAATAGATATTTTTTTATTTTTTAATCATTATTATAAATAAATAAAAATATTGTATTTTTAGTTATCAGAAATTAATTTAGAGGTTATAAAATAATCATTGTTGTGAATCACTTATGTTTAAATAAAGTAGCAGTGGCTTACCTAGTTTAGTTGATAACGCGTTGTGCCTCAGTGCGTAGGTATCGGAGTTCAATTCCGTTGTGCTGGCTTATATCAGGTTTTCCGTCCTCTCTGGCACAAGCTTTTAAAGAGGGCGATAAACTTAATTAATGATAAATAAAAAATATATATATAGCACAAGCAAATGCGCTTTCTGTGTAAATGAAAGATGCACAATATTTATTTTTTGAGGAACGCGGTAGACTGTGCACAGCAGTTAATACGTAAACCTTCAATTTGCCGTGCTAAGTGGGCTAGGGGTAAGTAAACAAAGACAATAGAGATTACCTATCACGAGTCATGATGTACTTAACGGTAATAGTTACAACTGGTTCACTAGTTCTTTGTTGAAATGATATCTATCAAATAGTTTCTGAGAAAATAAGTATCATATATTTATTGATCACTCTGTATAAGGTTTCCTTATTTAGGTCTTATACTATACTCTAAACAATAGGGTAACCTTTAAAACGAATTAAAAGTATATATAAATCTTTTGAACCCCTCCCCAGGAAAATTATGAAAATCCAATACTGATTACATATATTTTAGTTCCATAACACTGTTGTATGCTCAGATTTTTGTCACACAAGAAATACACATGAGAATTTTGCTACTTCCCTTTTCAAAATTGTATCTTTTTAATGTAATGATTATTAGCCTGGTTATAATAATTTAAAAAGCCAAATACAATAGAGATATAGAAAAGTTGAGGCATTTTTTAGATTAATATTAATTGATACCCAACAGTGATTAAAATTACTGTTATAAATTATTTCTATAAGTATTCAAAACACATTAAAAAAAAATTGAATATGTCTAACATATTAATTCACATGGTTTTTGACTTACTCATACAGGATAAGTCACTAGAACGTTTTCTTTTATTACTCGTATAATATATATATAACAAGTTTTAATTTGAAACATATTAGAATAATGTAAGTATTTTGTTACTATGGAGAATATTATAAAATCAGCTAATTTTACCAAAAATGTATGTTTTTTGTATTTAGTTTCTAATAATTCTCAGAAATCAATAATTATTAAATTTAACAGTTTCTATGTTAATATATATTGTATTAGCTTCAATGTAATGTAGATTTGAAGAAGATAAATTTTTTTTAAAGAAAAAAATTTTGATATGATTTTTAAGCCTTCGCAGTACCATAGTTTATGATTGAATTTTCAAAACAACATTTGGTCAGTAAGGCAAATATTTGAAATCATATCAATAAAATTTTCGCAACAATCCATCCATTTTTTTTAAATTTATTTGATTATAAAATGGAAACTCAAAATATCAACATTAACCGTTTTATAATAACTGTAATTTTTTGAGTCATTTATCTTTATTACCAGGACTGGGGCAATTTTTCAAAGTTATGGAGCTTAAACTTATACATTTCGTGATATTTTGACGAATCGTTGAGTTTAATTGATCCAGTAAAACCGGGAGTAATGGCGTATACCGTCATAAAACAAAAGTATAACCAATAACTTCTTAGATACACATCGCAGCTAAAATGCTCTATTATATTTATGTATGCTTTGATTATTCAACTGATAAGTATATAAATCAAAATTATACAAGAACAACAAGTTTTTATAAGAATCGTTGAATTATAAAGCTATTAATTGGAATTTCACAGTTTTGATTCTAAGTGAAGAGATTATTACCTCTTTATATTCTTATACTTTATTTCATTTTTATAAAATGCTATTTATGTACCCTGAGTAAAGCGTACATAAGTTTATCGATTTCATGTTTTTATTTATTTACGATTTAACTTTAATATGTTTAACCAAAATAATTGCCACGTGTCATATGAAAAGCTTTTGTAAAATTTCTATAAGTTCGCTTATGAATTAATGGGACTATGTACATACATATAGTAGAAAAGACAGTTAAAAACTTTTCTGAAATGTTCGTTATTGTTAAGTTAACAAAAGGTAAGCGCGTCCCCGTCATAGAATAAAAGAATATGAACATTTTAAAGGAAATGAATGCAAGTAAAACGAGGGACTGTATACTAAAAAAATTACGACTGTGGTAGAAAATACAATTTTAAAACAAATATGTAGGTAGTTAGTTTAAATAATATTTGTTAAATTTATTAAATTTAGTTTAATGGATATAAGTTAATTAAATTATTCTACACTTATTGTGTAGAAAAATTACGCATTATAATATGTATACAATATGTGATTTACTTCTAAGAAAAATAACATATTTTACGAAGAAAAATTTTATGAGCCAATTACATTTTCTTCCACATTTAATATGTTAATCATTAACATACTGATTATAATGAATAAATTACTGCATTTTTAAACAATTTTTTATTTATGAGTTACAATTTTTAGTATTTTACTTTAGATATAATTCTTATCTTTATTTTCGACTAACAATTTGTAAGTACAACATTTTTATTAAAATAGTTATAATTTCGAAAATTTATTTTTTTGTTCATATTATTTTAGAACAATACACAATCATTTAAATCGCAATTTTAAGGTTCAAAGAAAAATGTAATTAGTTTAATAACTAGGATTTTATGTTTGATTGATTTTGTATGACTTGAACCTAATTAATCTATTCGTAGATCACGAGCACAGTGTCTATGTGTTTAAATGTGTTACGTAACCGTATTATTGTAATGGGATTAAGTTAAGTTGTTACATAAATTATCACATAAATATATAATTCTTAATAATTACTATGGTACTATTCATTTTTATTCA